CTCTAAACATGTTTGGATGCAATCTAAAAGTGTTTGGACGCACTCATGGTCACATGGTCACATGGTCACATGGTCACACGGTCACATGGTCACATGGTCACATGGTCACACGGTCACATGTTTCAGAATAATCACAATTTTAGATTAGGTAATAATGGTTAAAAAAAACCTCGTACCTGTCCTTCATATCATTAAACAGGTCTTCAAATTCGTTCAACGTATAAGCTTCCGCGTATTTGAAGAACCGTTCGGCAACGGTATCACCTCTCGAACTTTTTCTTCCCATGCCTTTGTTAACCTTGACTTTCAAATTTTGTGCTATATGTCTCGCACAAAATCCGTGCCCTGCTTCTTTGTACACTTCGCTGACGGCTTTTATTATACTCCTATGTCGATCAGAAATCACAACAACATCAGGTCCATCTGGGATTGCCTTTATTAACATTTTCATAAACCATCTCCATGATGCATCTTTTTCTCTGTCAATAACCCCCCAGGCTAACGGATATAGGTGGTGGTCACCGTCTTGTGCCGTCGCAACGACCAATGTACCCTTGTATTGTCCCGTGAGAAATGTTGCATCAATTGCAACCACTTTACGCATGTAATTCCATCCTCTTACCGCTGCACCCAATGCGAAGAAGAGATATTTGAAACTTTTGCCATCTTTGTCCAACTCAAGACCGACAATCGTTCCGGGATTTCTCTTTTGCAACATGTGCAACCACCCAGGAAGCTTTCTGAAATGCTCAGCAGGATCACCTCGAATCTCACTTTCAGCTTTGTGTTTGCCTCGTAATGCCGTCAAATATGTTACGGTTGTACCGTACTTGGCTTTTACCCTGTCTACAATTTCATGGGCTGAAGGGGTACTATCAAGTTTACCGGGAAATTCTTCCTTCAAATAATCACGAACCAATTTCTTTGTACCCCTCAAAGCTTCGCTTGTTTCAGATACGGGTTTGCAGCTATGCATGGGATTGTGTTTTCTTACACTCCAACGCTCCGAGTTTAAAATCAATGCCGTCCGCAACTTCCAATTACAGCCCGATTCAGCAAATTTGCATCTTATTTCCCACAACTTTTTATCGGACTTCAGTGTACTGTAACGAAAACGACCCATAGCTGCACCCTTGCGAACAAATTCTTGTGCTGCTTCCTTATTCTCAAACTCATGGCCAATTGTGATATTTAAACCATCACTGAAACTGAATACAGAATTCGAAAACCGAGAGTCTGCTACTATCTCAAGCACTCTAAACATGTTTGGATGCACTTTAAGTATTTTTCGACGCACTCTAAACGTATTTTGTCGAACTCTAAACATCTTTTTTTGCACTCTAAACAAGTTTTGACGCACTCTAAACTTGTTTCTACGCACTTTAAACATGTTAGGATGCACTCTAAACGTGTTTGGAGGCACTAGATGTGTTTGGACGCACTCTAAACGTGTTTGGACGTACTCTAAACATGTTTTGTAGAATTCTAAACATGTTTATACGAATTTTAAACATATTTCGACGAACTCTAAATATACTTTGATGCACTCTAAAAATGTTTCGACGCACTCTAAACATGTTTGGATGCAATCTAAAAGTGTTTGGACGCACTCTAAACGTGTTTGGACGCACTCTAAACGTGTTTGGACGCACTCTAAATATGTTTGGATGCACTCTTAACATGTTTCGACGCACTCTAAAAATGTTTCGATGCTCTCTAAACATGTTTGGATGCACTCTAAGAATGTTTTGACGCACTCTAAGAATGTTTTGACGCACTCTAAACATGTTTGGATGCACTCTAAATGTCTTTGGACGCACTCTAAACATGTTTTGTTGCACTCTAAACATGTTTAGACGAACCCTAAACATGTTTCGACGCACTCTAAAAATGTTTTAATACATTTTAAACATGTTTAGATGCACTCCAAACATGTTTAGACGAACTCTAAACATGTTTTGAGGCACTTTAAATATGTTTTGACGCACTGTAAAAATGTGTCGATTCACTCTAAATATGTTTGGATGCACTCCAAAAGTGTTTGGACGCACTCTAAACGTGTTTTGACGCACTCTAAACGTGTTCCGATGCTCTCTAAGTATATTTCGATCCACTCCAAACATGTTTGGATGCACTCTAAGTATGTTTCGACGCACTCTAAACGTGTTTCGACGAACTCTAACATCTTTTGTTGCATTCTAAACATGTTTCGACGCACTCTAAACATGTTTTGATGCACTCTAAACATGTTAGGATGCACTCTAAACGTGTTTAGACGAACTCTAAACATGTTTCGACGCACTCTAAATATGTTTCGACGCACTCTAAAAATGTTTTAATGCACTCTAAACATGTTTGGATGCACTCTTATTATGTTTCGACGCACTCTAAAAATGTTTCGACGAACTCTAAACTTCTTTTGTTGCACTCTAAACATGTTTCGATGCACTCTAAATATGTTTGGCGCACTCTAAAAATATTTCGATGCAGTCTAAACATGTTTGGATGCACTGCAAATGATGAGGTCATCGACTTAGATGAGCTAAACGAGGAGCAAGCGGAGCAAGGAAACCATGGAACGCACAAAGGAGCTGAGGAGCACAAAGGAGCCAAGGAGGAGGACAAGCAAGGAGAGACAACCAATGAACCAGTCTTTCTGATCATTCTCGATCCACCACTTACAAGGGAACGAGCAAGGAGCCTGCATTCAAGAATCAACAAGTTCGTGGCCAAGACCCTTGAAGGCAATCCAAGAACCGAAGAATGATACAAGCACGTGACCAAGACTATAATAGTCTTTCGTGAATGAAGTTCGGAGGCTCGAAAGCGTCTCACCGAGGTCTCCTTAAGATAAATGACGAAGTAAACCAGGCCAAATGCGTCTCGATTATACTTCAAACAAAGATGAATAAGGTGGAATGGTGACACCACAAAGAGGGGTGGATGGACTCTTTGATATCGTCACAAAATACTCGGTAAATTGAAAGAGAATCACTCTCAGTCAACAACACGAACGAAACTCGATTTCTTGCTAATGGAACAAGAGTATTCGAGAGAGAAACTAAAAGAAAATACCAAGTATTATTTCTGATCAAAAGTTGTGTCTTAATTCGAAATTACAAAGGCTTTAAATAGGAAAAGTGCTGAAATTGATGCGGACATCACATTCCTTGAAGAAGAAGAAATGAAGAAATCTCAAAGCTTTCTTATTTGGACTTAACTCAAGATTAGGAAGGATTTAAATCTGATTTCAATTAGATTTAATTTAGATATAATCAGATTTAGATATGATCTGATTTGATTTTATTTTGATACGATCTGATTTGATTTAGATTTGATCTTTTTACCTTATCTTGTTAACATTTGTAATCCTATATAAGGAGATCTTTGTAGACTTGTTTAAGCAGACTTTGGAAATGGAATAAAAAAAATTGAGTTTCTTTAGAATTCGGTATGTCCGATTCTTTATCTTCTCGGTGTGTCCGAGTCTCAGTCCTCCTAAGTTGTGCGTGTGTCGCCTTCTTATGAGGATCTATTGTGACGATATCAGGAGGACTCTCCATCCCCTCTTGTGGTGTCACCGATCCACCCATCATTTTCACCCGTAAGCTGAGTTCGAGCGCCTTCAAGGCCGGTGATTGGCTTCGGATCAACCTTTCATCCCAAGTGTATAAACCTTTGGATCGAAGCGTGTATCAGAAATACTAGAAAGGAAAGATAATTAACACCTAGGCAACAATTGTGGCAACTAGTCCACCTAGTCATTGCGAAAATGATAATAAGGAAAGGTAGGGGATCTCCTGGTGATTTGGCAGCAACGGCTAGTAGAAGAAAGGCAAGAAATGTGTCATCAATCCCACAAATCCGAGCTTGCCATAGTTTGCGTGATGATGTGTCCAAGAAGTTGCCTTAAGTGGGTCTAATGGCTCCTTCTCTTGCTGATGTGTTCTCCTTTCCTTAATTGGTGTCTTCAGATCAGGTGGTGACCAACAAGAGTTCAAACACGAGTAAACTCTTGCTGTTGCTTGATTTAGCCAGATCCAAGTTTTCTTCAGCCCTTGCATTGTCTCCGAACATCTTGGTGACGAACTTGTTGATCTTGGCACGTAGATTTCTTGCCCTTTCTCGTGTGAGTGGCGGATCAGGAATTGTAGGGAAGGCAGGCTCGTGCTTCTCCTCTCCTTGGGTTGTAAGATTTCCCTCGGCCGTTTTGAGTGCTCCTTTGTCCATGTTGGGTGGTTCCTCGTTTGTATCCAGCTCGATGACCTCATCATCTCCTCCCCCTTGAGAAGGTTTTGACCTCAAAACAGAATCTCATGCATCAAAAGGAAGCAAGTCAGCTATATTGAAAGTAGAAGATACGTTATACTCACCAGGAAGCTCCAAACGGTAGGCATTGTCGTTGATCTTCTCAATCACGCAGAATGGGCCATCTCCTCTTGGTGCTAGCTTGGATGTTCTCTTGTGTGGAAAGCGTTCCGGCCTTAGATGTAGCCACACCCAATCTCCCTCATTGAAAGTGATCTTCTTTCGTCCTTTGTTTGCTTGTCGTGCATATTGCTCCGTTCTCCTTGCAATATTCTCCCGGACTTTTGCATGCAACTTCATCATACTCTCGGCCTTTTGCTGCCCATCAAGGCTGACCATTTCCTTGCTTGGGATGGGCGAGAGATCCAGCAGAGTGATGGGGTTGAATCCGTAGACAATCTCAAAGGGTGAATGCTTTGTTGCCGAATGGATAGCTCGGTTGTATGCAAACTCGACATGGGGAAGGGAGTCCAGCCAATTCTTCAAGTTTCTCCCAATAGCTGCTCGCAACAACGTCCCCAAAGTGCGGTTGACAACCTCCGTTTGCTCATCGGTTTGAGGATGACAGGTTGTAGAGAACAAAAGCTTGGTTCCGAGTTTTCTCCACAATGTCTTCCAAAAGTAACTCATGAACTTCGTGTCTCGGTCAGAAACGATGGTCTTAGGCAGCCCATGGATCCTCACGATCTCCTTAAAGAATAGATCAGCTATGTAAGAGGCATCGTTTGTCTTTACACAAGGAATGAAATGCGCCATCTTTGAAAACCTGTCAACAACAACAAAGATGGAATCTTTGTTCCGGATTTTTGGAAGTCCAAGAACAAAGTCAATAGAAATGTCAGTCCAAGGATAAGTAGGAATAGGTAAGGGAAGATACAAACCATGCGGGTGTGTCTTAGACTTGGCTTGATGGCATTAAACACATCAAGCACAATGTCATTCGACATTCCGTTTGAGACGCGGCTAGAAGAAGTGCTCCTTCGCTACAGCGAGCGTCTTATCCACGCCAAAGTGTCCCATGAGTGCTCCTCCATGCGCTTCTTGAAGAATGAGATCCCTCATTGAGCATTGTGGAATGCACAGCCGCTTTTCTCGGAATAGGTAGTCGCCTTCCTTGTAGAATGATCCGTACGCTCCCTTGTTGCACTCCTCATAGATATCCCCGAGCTCCGGATCGTCGCGGTACAGGCCTTTGATATGCTCAAAGCCGAGCATCCTTGCCTCCATGGTGGTGATGAGTGTATGTCTCCTTGATAGTCCATTCGCCACAACATTATCTTTGCCTTTCTTGTACTTGATCACGTAGGGAAATGTCTCAATGAACTCCATCCACCTTGCATGCCTCTTCTTGAGTGAAGTTTGTCCTTTGAGATGCTTGAGAGTCTCGTGATCAGTATGTATGATGATCTCCTTCGCCAATAGGTAGTGTTTCCACGTTTGTAATGCTCGCACCAAAGAATATAGTTCCCTGTCATATGTGGGATAGTTGAGTATTGCTCCATTTAGCTTTTCGCTAAAGTAGGCCACGGGTCGTTTCTCCTGCATTAAAACAGCTCCAATACCCACACCGGATGCATCACATTCAATTTCAAATACCTTGTCAAAGTCGGGAAGGACTAAGACGGGTGCTCTCGTGAGTTGCTCCTTTAATGTGTTGAATGCCTTCTCTTGTGCTTCTCCCCACTCGAATGGCTTATCTTTCTTGATAATGGACGTGAGGGGGGTTGCAAGGCTGCTAAAGTCACGAACAAACCGACGGTAGAAGCTCGTCAAGCCATGGAAGCTCCGCACATGTCCGACGGTTGTAGGGGTTGGCCAATCTCGGATTGCTTTGATCTTTTCTTCATCTACACGTATCCCCTGCGAACTCACAACAAATCCTAAAAAGACAACCTCATTAGTGCAGAATGTGCACTTCTTGAGATTAGCATAAAGTTTCTCTCTTCGGAGAGTCTC